CACACCTTTCACATTTTTACATCTCAGGCACAAAAACAAGGACAACTGGTAATGCTATAAAATAAAAACACAAGGACAACTCTCAATGATCGACTATCCACCATTTCAATCAATAGTTGCTTTCACAGCAAATGAGCGACCTACAGCATCCGATGGATGTTTGTAGTGAATGTGATGAGAAAGCTGACTGGTATTGTGTACAAGATGATTCTAATTATTGTGATAAACATGAGTCAGTCGCACATGAGCTAAAAGCACAAAAAGTCCATGAGAGAGTACCAATTCGTGACAAGCAAAAGCATGCCAAACCTCCGACCTGTCAAAATCACTATATGCCATCGTGCTTGTATTGTTTAACATGCAAAGTAATGTGAAGACTATCTTCTTTTCTGTATTCACTTTTTTACCCTCACTTGCGTACACCAACATTCGAGCTCCTTCCTGTTGACAACCGCTGCTGTATTTGTTTTAGACTGTTTGCTGTCTTGTTTGCAAGTCGGATGGTACTCATCAGAGTCACCATGATCGAGTAACTCCTGTTATCAATGTGGTAGATAATGCGAAGAAGGAATTACAAAACCAGATTGACAAACTGCGACCAATAGCCATTGCGTGCGAAGATGAAGCAAAAGCATTGGAGCAAATCCTTCAAGGTTAGGGCATGTTTTCGTCTAGATGATAAAGCTGAAACATCCCTCAATCATTCAGATATCAATGATAGTGGAGCGAGAAGTGGCGAAGAAATTGAAAAAGAATTTGGAGTTCTTATGCGGCTCCTTAGCACAAGAAAAGAGGAGCTAGAAGAACAACTGAAGCAAAAGTTACAGGTGAGCTCAGTGAGAGCACTCTTTGTCTTATTCTTTATTGTGTTTATTATATCCGCAGATATGTCGTGATAATGTGCACTCGCGCCAAAAGAACTTGGACAATGTGAAATCAAGTTTGAACGACGGGATCAAGGAAGCTGAACATACTTTGTCATTGAATGTGTTTGCTGCACTGGCAGAAACAAAACGTGTGGCTGAACAGTTGGAGAAGGCTGAGAGTGACTGCAGAGACTACCATCTCCATGCTCTCGTCCCTACATCTGTCTTGTTCAATATTTCCAGTTCAGCGATTGAACAAATTGCAAGTACAGGCTGTGTAGTCGAAGAATGTAAGTGAAGCACATATGGGACCCATCAACTTTGTCTTAGGTATTCCGGGCTCTTGGTGCTAGAAAGGCAACGATGAAGCGACGTTCAGCAAGGTCTCCGATGTCTGGTCTGAGAATCAACGAGATGAACCAGGATGATCGGCTACAGAACCTCTTCTTTTGATTCTGTCTTTTTAATCGACAATTACAGTCAATTTCCTGCTCTAACCACTTCACTTCCGTGGTTTAGTCGAAACAAATCTTGACTTCTGCACGAGCTTCCAGCCGAGGATGACGTGATGATATGTTTTGTCCAATGTTCTGTAGAAAGAGTGGGTATAAAGATAGAAACTCTGACGGCAAACATATTTTCGAGCATGCCTTCGAGAACTTCTATGTGAACACGGTAACCACAAAAGCTGAAGTACACTAAAGCCAGTGTACGTAGATTCAGCCATAATGTGGTCAATTCACGTCAATCGAGCATTGGATCCCTTCGTTTTCTAATCCGCAACTAACCTGCGGAATATAACTGCGTCATAATGGATTGTGTGTAGAAAATCTGCACGCGTATTGATCAACACACAACTCTTTCTTCTGTTTCCAGCAACTCGTATCTCCACGAAAACATCATCAACCCCATCAAATATGTGGATTACTGTTGCCAACATGTCATCAGCTCGCCAAGTCCACACCGCAACTTTATTATCATCTGGGAAAGTACTAGTAACAGGTGGTTATGATTCGAAGAACTATTGGTTGAGTTGCGAAATGTATGATCCTCCATCGAATACCTGGACTCCAGTCGCGGGAATGTCATCAGAACGGTTTCGACACACTGCAACTTTATTATCTTCCGGGAAAGTATTATTAACAGGTGGTTATGATTTGAAGAATTATTGGTCGAGTTGCGAAGTGTATGATCCTCCATCGAACACGTGGACTCTAACTCCCAGCATGTCATCAACACGTCAGTACCACACTGCAACTTTATTACCATCTGGGAAAGTACTAGTAACAGGTGGTTATGATTCGAAGAATTATTTGTCAAGTTGCGAAGTGTATGATCCTCCATCGAATACGTGGACTCCAGTCGCCAGCATGGCATCAGCACGGATTCAACACACTGCAACTTTATTATCATCTGGGAAAGTATTAGTAACAGGTGGTTATGATTCGAAGAATTATTGGTTGAGTTGCGAAGTGTATGATCCTCCATCGAATACGTGGACTCTAGTCGCGAGTATGTCATCAGCACGTTATTACCACACTACAACTTTATTATCATCTGGGAAAGTATTAGTAACAGGTGGTTATGATTCGAAGAATTATTGGTCGAGTTGCGAAGTGTATGATCCTCCATCGAATACGTGGACTCTAGTCACCAGCATGTCATCAGTACGTCGTGACCACACTGCAACTTTATTATCATCCGGGAAAGTACTAGTAACAGGTGGTTATGATTTGAAGAATTATTGGTCGAGTTGCGAAATGTATGATCCTCCATCTAACTCGTGGACTCTAATCCCCAGCATGTCATCAGCACGTCGTGACCACACTGCAACTTTATTATCATCCGGGATGGTATTAGTTACAGGTGGTTCTGATTTGTCGAGTTGCGAAGTTTATGATTCGTAGACCTGCTAAGTAATACAATCACAGCACCTCACTGTTTCACGTTCGATATTTCTGCACATTCATTGTTGTTTGTCGTTTGATGACGAACTGCTCTCTCTGCTTGTGAAAGCAACTATTGATTGAAATGGTGGATAGTCGATCATTGAGAGTTGTCCTTGTGTTTTTATTTTATAGCATTACCAGTTGTCCTTGTTTTTGTGCCTGAGATGTAAAAATGTGAAAGGTGTG